GAAATCGGAGAAAAAGAAGCTATCTTGCCTATCAACCGGACACGGGAATACTCTAGGAAGTCACGTTCGAAGAAAAGGAACATAAGACTGCTGGAGAAAGGAAGATGCAGTATCTTGCGCTGCGACGAATGAGTCAAACATCAGTCAAGAAATAACTATGTTATCAATGCACAAAGCCTGGACATGAAGCAGATCAATGTCCAATGACAACTTCTGAGAAGGACCTTCACCGGACGTGGAAAGAAGGCGATACCTTTTAGAAGGCATCAAACAAGGTGCAAGAATTAGCACAAAAGAAGGCACTCGAGGAGAAGAAGAACTCCGAGAAAAAAGTAACGATACCATCATACCTTCTCAAGTACAAGCAGATTTTCGAAGAAAAGGCATCTGAATGGTTACCACTGCACAGATCGTACGATCACAATATAGATTTCAAGCTGGATTTTGTCCCTAGATGAGGAAAGGTCTACAACCTATCGAAGGAGTTGGAAAAGAAGCTTGAATGAGTCATCAAAAAGATGGTCGATAATGACCTCTACCTCAAGCTGGAAAAATGTGTGTTTAAGACTACACGTACTGATTTTCTAGGGATCGTTCTCCTTCCAGAACGACTCCAGATGGATCCCGAAAAGGTCAATGGAATCCTGAAGTGGGAAGCCCCCACTAGCGTAAAAGGAGTATGCACCTTCCTAGGATTCTATCGAAAGTTCATTCGGAACTATTCTGATATTGCTTGACCCCTCATTGATCTAACCAAGACCAAGGGAGAAAATGTGTTCCATTGGATGAGCAAGGAACAAGCCGCTTTTGACCATATCAAGAATGAGTTTAGCAAAGCACCAATACTGGTCATGCCAGACAAGAACAAGCCCTTTGTCATCGAGACCGATGCATCAGACTTTGCTACGGGCACAGTCCTTATGCAGAAAGATGATAATGGAGATCTTCATGCATGCGCATACTATTCCAAGTCGCTCTCAGATCCTGAACGGAATTATCAAATCTATGATAAAGAGCTTCTTGGAATCATCCATGCACTCAAAGAATGGAGACACTATCTCGACGGAACAAAGGAGCTGTCACAGTATTAAGTAGCACCTTTCTTTCTGCACCAATAAAGTTATCATTCGGCAACCACAAGTGGTTATTCAGACGCCAACCTTCATATTGATCTCACAAAGTGGATACTTAGACAAACAGCACAATACCACCACATACATCGCAGATATGACTGTGTCTACCACATGACCACCAAGCACCCATGATTCAGCCACCCAGTCACGTGACACTGGCCACTTGCCCTATTTGGAAGTTATCAGGCATTGGTCACATGACACCAGGCCACTTGCCCAGAATGGAACTCTTTGGCCCACAATAGGCTTACCCGTGCTCATTGGACCATCAAGCTAGCAAGCACCCAATTCGCTGCTCAAATAGCAGCACCAACTACATGGCTGCCAAATAGTTGCACCAGCATTAGAATATGCGCTATGGCAGAACCCCCATTGGCCACTCAATAAGTGGCACCACTTCAGCCACTCAAATAGTGGCACTACCTTCAGGCAATTATCTCATTGGGTAAAGTAGGATTACCTTGGCGTATTCACAGCCTTTATAGATAGTTGCTATAGCGAAGTCCAGAACCATTACTGGTTTTGGCAATATGTTCACATGTAGACAGGACAGGACCCCAGTAAGTACACCATAGTTAGGGTACCCAGGGTCCACCACTACATGTATATAAGCACATGAGGATCTAAGGGAAGACCTTAGATTCATTCAATTATTATATGCGGCCAGCAGGCCAGCTCCCCCCTTCCACCTTTTGTGCAAGGCCATGCATTGGGGCTTTGCCTTGATTGCTGGTTGTATGTCACTGTGCGCGTCCTCAGCCTAGCCCTTGTGGCAGGCTTTTCCAGGTTAGCCTTAGGGCAACCTTTTTATGTGGATCATTTGTGCAGGTCACACAAGCAGACTTGCCCTTAATTGGGTTAAGTGCTTTGTGCTTTGTGACAGGAGCCATTCCTCATATGCACAGATCACAAGAATCTGGCGTACTTTAGGCAACCACAGGACTTGAACCCAAGACAGCAAAGATGGCAACTCTTCTTATCTATGTTTAACTACAAGATCGTTCACACTACTGGACGACAAATGGTTTAAGCGGATGCGCTCTCACGCCTCTCTGAATTGGATAATCATCAAGACAACAAGTTTCCTGCGATTCTCCTACCAGACGATCTATTCATTGGTGCTATCGATACAGATATGGCGGAACAAATCTGACAAGCACTAAAGAAAGATCCTGCAGTACTGGCATACCAGGACAGCCTAATGGAGGAACTGCCAGTTTCCAGAAGAATGACTAAGGATGACATCAAGGATTCTGATAATGGCTTAATCACCATTCATAATCAAGTGTACGTTCCCAACGATGATACCCTTAAACAGGAAATCGTGCGTAGGTACCACGAAGCCACACCACATGGTCACCCAGGAATCTGGGTTATGCATCAATTGATCAGAAAAAACTTCTGGTGGCCGGGAATGTATCGCTTTGTGCAAAGCTATGTCAATGGCTGCACAATTTGTCAGCAATTCAAAGCTGTATGCAATCGTCCCAAAATTCCACTACAGCTCATCGGTTTTTCACCCAATGCGCTACCTTTCAAGCAAGTTAGCATGAATTTTATTACAGATCTACCGGAAAGTGAAGGCTTCGATTCAATAATGGTCATGGTAGACCATGGGCTTAGTAAGGGGGTAATTCTATGTTCATGCAAAAAGACGATCACTGCTGCGGAGACAGCTGAGCTATTCACACATCAAGTTTGGAAACACTTTGGGCTACCCGACAAGATTATATCCGATCATGGAATGCAATTTGCATCTAAAGTATTTCAGGCATTGTGCAAAGCTCTCAAGATCAAGTCAGCCATGAGCACAGCCTACCATCCACAAACGGACAGTGAAACAGAGTGAATGAATCAAGAGTTGGAAACATATCTCCGAATGTATTGTGTCGAACAACTGCAACAATGGAACAAGCTCCTATCAGAAGCAGAATTCGTGCACAACCTTCATATCCATTCAGTCACAAAGAAGTCACCCTTCGAAATCTGGTCTGGATACAAACCATGGGAAATGCCAGAACTCTTTCCACAGGAAGAAATCCCTGACATTGACATGCGACTCAAACTTCTCAGCACATTCCACAAGGAGGCCGCAGCAGGAATTGTTAAGGCAAAAGCCCACGTATCAGCAAGGCTCCAAGCAGGATTGCCGACTTTCAAGAAAGAAGATAAGGTCTGGCTGGAAGCTACCAATTTGAAAAGACCTTACAAATCGAACAAGCTAGTGCCGAAGCGAGAAGGACCATTCAGGATCAAGGAGGTTCTGGGACTCTCTCATTCAAGTCAGACCTTCCTGCGACATGAAAGATCCATCTGGTGTTCCATGCTGCGCTTCTTACACTGTATTGGCAGATCATCACACATGGGGATAGTTATTCAACACTGCCTCCAGATCTTATCGAAGGAGAAGAAGAATTTGAAATTGAATCCATAATTGGACACCGACTACGGCGCAGCAAGAACAAATATCTGATAAAATGGGCTGGATATCCACTCAGTGAAAGGTCGTGGGTAAAGGAGATGGAAATGGACAATGCAAGTGAGCTGCTGGACGAGTATAAAAGGGAGCACAACTTGGCCTGAATCCTCAATCCCAAATGCCTGTGCAACACCTTGAATATCTCGAATCTGCTATCACCACTCTCACCCATATCATCGAAGTTCTCGAAGATGTCGAATCGCATTCCTCTCACAATCATCACTATCAGGTCTTCCAACAGCTCGGAGTCTATCTCGCTATCAGAGGAGCTGGATTTGCCATCGAGAATCTTGCCAACTTCGACCATACCAACGTCGAATTCAACATGACCCATCCAAACCATGATGGACCATCTTATCCAGAGAGCGGATGACGTCCACGAAGTCCACCTCCTGGATGACTTCAGATCAACGTGACGACAGCCATATCTAACCCCTCATTTCAGCGGGCTAATCAGAATTCTGTATCTGTTTCCATTCCAAATGGACAGACTGAAGATCACACTAGAGGACAACATCGATATCGACCTAGACGGAACATGGGAGACGTTCATGCGAATGAATTACCCAATGTACCTAACAGAGGAACTCCACCTGCCCCAGTTAGGGCCAGATTGACGTCAGACTATCCTAACAGCCATTTACGCTGGCCTTTCAGTGGGAATCCTCCCACCATCATATGCTCTAGATCATCTGCTACACTTTGATATCTTACCGGCAGCGCTCTCATTCACTCTGGATGCATTCAGTGTTGTACATGGTACTGTACCAAGAACAATGACAATTCCAGCAGAAGAACGTATGGGGATGGCGAATATTCATATCACGGACTGGTACAAAGAAGAGGAATGACTGCTCGAAGGTATAAGTAGCAGTCCTCCTTTCCCTCTACTGGACCATCACCTCCTCCTACTCGAGTGGAAACTCTATGAGGAAATCTACCCTTGGAGCAAAGAGAATTGCCCCGCTCTACCACCTCCACCAATGTCGCTTAACATTCACGTAAGCACCACCGTCACTTGCAGTACCTCAGAGCTGGGACCACTCCTCAACAGTGACAGAGATGAACTCTCACCTCTGACCAACCTCAGTGATGAAGCACTGGCTGACTCATAGAGAAGTGCATGCTGAGGAAACAATGAAGACGAGACAGGTCGTTGGACGACAGGAAGAGCTTGGGGTGAAGACGATGAACAGGCAGAGAATGCCAATGATGAACAACCCGGCTACCCCCACCATGATGGCACCACCTACAATTACATTGACCCATCTGAGGATGGATCGCAACCTTCACCGGCTGACATCATCAAGAAGCAGACAAGGTACACTTGAACGGTCAAGTCTTCGAGCAACCCTGCGGAAGGACAAGTGTCATTCATCGCCCCAGACATGGCATCACCCTACAATGTCTTCATCGCAACACCACTAACATTCCTGATGGAATGCAATAACCATCGTCTTTATGTCCATCATACGGGCACAGGTGACTTCATCACCTTCCACACCTTCGTCTTCACTTGGGACAACCTGAAGATCGCATGGCACCTCTACTCGGAAGACTCACCTCACCGTGTCTTCAGTCCGTGAGTTGCCTTGCTCTTTCACCACCCCTTCCAGAAATGCACAATTGGCATTCAACACCTAACCAGATATGCGTCATCAGCATTCGTTTCGTGGACAAGGAAGAAGGCGTCGAACACTACGAGATCGAACTATTCAGGACGTTCTTCAATCAAGTTACCTACAGAGATGTCAAGACACCTCATGAGTTGATGCCGGTCATCTTCCAACCCCTCATCACCATGATCGAGTGTCCTAGATGGCTCACCGATGGGGTGGATGAACTGGAGGCAGTTCGCTATGAAGACAGATCCATCTCGCACTGGGCACCTACTGGTTTCCATCCTCATCACCAGGAGGATCTCGATGATTGGGAGGTCGTACATCACACCACCATTCTAGTCTATAGCTGAGTGGGTGTCCGAGAGGGACATTGATGGATTAGTTTGGTGAGTGGTCATCAAGGGTCTTGCCAGTTGGAAGGGGGAGCTTGTGTTACGGTTTCAGCGCTTCATGGTCACGTGACAGTTTACGTTGCACGTAACACTTACTATTTATGGTTCATAGGTCTGGTGGACATATTCTAGAGTCACTGCAGACATGAAGCGATTTGTGCATGTGACAAATGCTTAGCAAATGTCGACAGGTTTTTTGCCTTTGTGATCTCAATTTGCTATGGTTTCTTCCCACATTTCATATTATGTATTTGCATATAGTATGTTAGAGGCAGAAATTTAAAACCATATATTTTAAGAAATGACACCATTTTCAAACTCACCAAACACATTTAGAATTTGAGCACTGTTGAATGTAATCGTACATTTTTGAACTCCAAACCATCACATGTATAAAATATCCAGTAGCAGATGAAGGTGTAATTACGGTGAATGACTTTCATTCTAGTAATCTTGGTTAGAATGACTTCAGTAGAGAAGTAGAATGTAGGCATAATGACACCTTCATCTGCTACTGGATATTTTATACATGTGATGGTTTGGAGTTCAAAAATGTATGATTACATTCAACAGCACTCAAATTCTAAATATATTTGGTGAGTTTGAAAATGGTGTCATTTCTTAAAATATATGATTTTAAATTTCTGCCTCTAACATACTATATGCAAATACATAATATGGAATGTGGGAAGGAACCATAGCAAATTGAGATCACAAAGGCAAAAAAACCTGTTGACATTTGCTAAGCATTTGCCACATGCGCAAATTGCTTCATGTCTGCGGTGAGTTAGCAGTTTTTTGTTCTCACGATTAGACTCACTCTGGCATTTGCAATCCAGACTTCGCTCTAGGTTTTCTATTTCACCTACGCTTTTCTTAGCTCACCAATTAACTGGCTCGCAGCAGCGAAGCTCTGGTATTTTATCTATCTTTAGAATAGCGGGACTCCCTGTACTAGTACCTCAGACTATAGGTCTGTGACTATATAAGGGGCACAGATCATGGAGAGAAGACCAACCTCTTCCTCCTTGTTTCTAAGACTCGTTCTTTTACTAGAACCCTTCTTGACAAGAAGCTTTCTCGATACTTCTGATCAGGGATCTGCACTCACTCTCAAGGGATATTCAAGTTCATGCGCTTGTCTAGAGATCAGAGGGCAAACCTAGTAACCTGCGAGTGAACGTGCAGTAGCCTCTCAGCGACCTAGCAAAGAGCAGAGTGACCAAACCTCACTGCTGCACACTCCTAGGGTTGGACCCTACTATAACATTCACTGGGGAAGCTAGCACATGCTGTAAGGGCACGTGGTTAGGAAGGTTCTCTAGGGAACACTTCATAACAAAAGTAGAAGAAGAGGATATAACGTTGGGACTCACCATGGGCCTCAGAGAACACTATGACTAGCTCATAGTCATGCTTGACTCGATCCCAGCTGAACAACTCACTGTTACAAACATCACAGCAAGACTTCTGAATGAGAAGATCCACTAGAAGGATACAGAGGATGACCGGGATGTGGTGGCCATAATGGCTAAGGCTGAGAAAGAGAAGTGGAAGGCAGCTACAGGGGGCAAGAAGCATAAGTGCTTCAAGTGCAGAGAAATAAGGCACATATGGAAGGACTGCCTGACCAAGTCAGATCATGACAAGGATGACTCAGATGATGAAAAAGGGAAGCCAGATGATAAGGGTGCAAAGGTCAAGGTGGCATATATCGACGACCACATTCACCTATTCTGACAGCTTGACATCAGCGATTGAGGGAGCATGTTGAAAAAAGGAGTGCGTGTGGCACTCAGGTACGCTCTTGTTACAAACGGGGAGAAGTGGCCAGTCAAATGATCAGAGCAACGTACCCTAGCAACAGATAGGTCGTACAATAGGATCTGAGGGCAGCAATAGTTAATAAATAGCAGACCTTGAGTTGTACATATCTTGATAGTTTGACTACATCTAAATGGCTCTAACAAGGTCCCTGGACACTGAACTCATCTTCGCTGTGCTTAGACTGTGAGATTTCAAGAACTTCTTCCCTTGTCAACATTTTAAAAAGAATGCAATCACCTCTGTGTCAAGTGTCATAAGCAAATTCATGACATACAGGAGCACATTCCTCACTTTTGCCAGTTGATAAAATTTATAATTCATGATCTGAAAGCAATATGATCGAAGTTCAGTGATGTGTTTGATTTTGATGAGTGGTGTAAGAGTTTCTCCTCTGTCTATGGCAAAGTAGGTATGCATGAGCATGATACCTTTTTTCCTACATCAAATTATGTTGTTCAGAGCCACTGTCTTGATGTATAGTGGGTTGTGAAAATCTGACACAATTCTGCTATTGTCAAAGCTTGTGAGTGATAGCTATAAAGATGGGTGGCATTTCAAGCATCAACTTCATAATACTGCCACATAAGTATCCAATATACACAGTGGATCTCACCTTAGTTAGAATGTCTGGGTTCCCATCCTGTATACAGTGACCCACAAAACTGTTGATAAGATTGCTTACTTCGACTTGTATGGTAAATATCTCCTCAACCACTGGGCCAAATAAATGTTATAAGAGCTCATTTGAAAGCTTATTATTATGGCTTTCCAATGCAGCTTTGTTTATATTTTTAACATATGTGGATCTCAAGATATCTGATACTCTTTGAGGGCCACTCTTATCAACAGTTTTGTGGCACATATTCAGGTTCTACAAAACTCATACTTTCAGTACTTGGTATAGCCTCCCTTTGCCTTCACAACTGCATCCACCCTCCTTGGCATACTTTCAATCAGATTCTGACACACTTCCTTCCCAATAGCCTCCCATTCCTTCTCTACCCTTTCCCACAACTCAGTAATTCCCTTTGGTGGCTCCTGATAGTCTGCAAGCTTCTTTTTAGGTGACCCCACAAATTCTCTATGGGATTGAGATCTGGGGATTGAGAGGGCCATAGCATGGTGTTGAAATCATGGTCTTTGAACCAATCCTTGGCCTTCTTGCTGGTGTGCTTGGGGTCATTGTCTTGCTGGAACACCACATCCTCCACAGTTTTGCCTCAATCCTCCAGGCTATTCTGCAGCTCATCCTCCAGAATGCTGACATAAAGGTCTGCATCCATCCTGCCATCAATATTGCAGGCATATTCACACCATCCCAGCCCATACAGCCTCACATCATCAAGGATCCACCTCCAAACTTCTGATTCCCTTTCATCAACCTATCACTGAGGCTCTCCCCTGGCTTCTTCCACACTCATTTCCTTCCATCTGACCCCATCCTGTTAATCTTTGTCTCATCTGACCATACCACCCTTCTCCAGTCCTCTACAGTCCAATACTGGTGAGCCAAAGCAAAGTCCATCCTCTCCTTCCGATGCCTAGCAGAGAGTAACGGCCTTTTTCACTTCACTACAGCCTTCATTCCTGCCTTCTTCAACCCTCTTCGCACTGTCTCTGCATTGACAACTCTCCCAGTAATGTCTGCAAGAGCTCTGGCCACAGCAGGAGATGTGGTAGCCTTGCCAGTCCCAATGAGTCGAGTAGCATAGCGAAGATTGGCAGTAGTAAGAAGGGAAGGACACCCTTCTTTGGCCTTAGGAATGGTGGGGCAGTGTGTGGAGTGCAGTTTACTGATGGTAGAATAGTGTAGCCCAGTCAAAGCTTCAATTTCTTGAAGAGATTTGCCATTCTGAAGCAAAGTGATCACATGGTTGACAGTTTCAGTAGCAACGGCTTTTGGCATGATGTTGGTTGAGTGTGAAGAGTTGTGTATGGCTGTTTCTACATTGTTCATGTTGAAACATGATCATTCAATCAATATTCCCACAAGGAACCCTGTCAACACATCAAGAATCACAATATTCTGAGAACTTGTGTGTGCGCCACAAAACTGTTGATAAGAGTGGCCCTCAAAGAGTATCCAATATCATAAGATCCACATAATGCTAAAAATATAAACAAAATTGCATTGTAAAGCCATGATAATAGGCTTTAAAATGAGCTCTTATAACATTTATTTGGC